TTGGAGGGTAAGGAAAAGACTTTTAAACAAAGATATGACACAACACTTTATGATAATTTCAGGAAAAAATGGTGTTGTATATACTCAGAGGCTAGACTTAGGGTGAAAGATGGATTCATGAGAAGAACATCAATAGAACCACAAGGCAACTTAGGGCTATTGCCAGAGTCTAGAAGGAAGATTCTGGGAGCCTTTGAGACAGTGGTGACCATGTGAGGGTCATTCACGGGTGTGACGAGTAAGATTTGGGTATAGAGGAGGTGGTACAGTTAGTATTGAAGTTTTGACTATGAGAGGCTAGGAGAATGTGGAATGCTGCCATTAATACAGGACAGGAGGTCAGATCTTTAGAGATCTGACTGTGGTTGGGACCACAGTTATCCAGGCACACACTCAACACGTCTACTCACTTTACTTTCACTGTAGTCTTCCCATGGGAGAACATCAGGCCTAGGCAGAGAAACAGCTTAATGGCTGCTATTTTAGTTCTCAAGAAAAGGTTATTCAAGCACTGATAAAGGATTTCTAGGGAAAGACAGATCCACCCTTGTTGAAGACCAAGTCAAAATGGCCCATTGGGTAGAGAGTGGCTAAGGAGAGAGTGGAGGCCATGACTCATAGAGATGGAATTTTAGAAGGAGCAAGGCAATAGTGAAGTACTATGTGTCTGCCATTACACACAACCCTGATACCTGGTACCCTGCCCAATCAGAATGAGTCTATACTTCTGGCAAGAGGGAGCTCTTGCTTTATCACTTACCATTATCAGTGAGGTTGGCTTATCCTTCGGGAACACAGAAAAGCTACTTCGTCTGAACAGCTTTGTGTGGTTTATTCCTTTATTTCTTGACAGCACTTGGTAATCACAGCATGACCCACATATTTTTACTCTCATCATATTGCTGCTTGGTTATTGTTTACATCCTCTCTAAATCTGAGGCTTCTCTTCTCAAAGCTAAGAACTTTTGGGTTTTCTTACAAATATACTATGGTTATTTATGAAAAGATAACGTGTAAGTATAATCATATAATATAGTATGTATACAAAATGCATACATGTAATACGTGACTTATATTGCTCATAAACCAGAATTATATATAATATACATTCCATTTATCTGTGTATATAAAATTATGTGGCCATGAACTGTGTAGACAGTTGCTGTTGGGAAAAGTTAGCTTATCCCTTATTTTAACTGTCAACCTTGTCACTAATATCCTGAGGATACTGACTTCCGAAGGGTCACATAACACATTACGTTAGGCTCAAGTTAGCTTTGAGTAAAAAATGACTTTTGGTTTTAAGCACTACTAAGCCATACTTCCTCCCCCCTGTGCTTGTGCAGTTGGTGTTTTATATACAAACATAGAAAACGAGGTAAGTGGGTAGCTTTGGGGTTTAGAAATTGGCTTCTAGTTTCCATCTATTATTTATAGCTCTGTAGCTTTGGGCAGGTTACATAATCTCCCTAACACTCATCTGCATCATTTGTCTGTCACTTGCTAAATTTACTATAGTACCATAGTATAGTATTTGCAGATTTTTACTCATTATATCTGTTTTTGTTTATCTATATTTATGATATTCTTTGGAATAGAATATCATGAATAACTTTGCAAAATATCTCATTGATGCCCAAAATCTAGGAAGAGATGGGCAGTAATATAACTTCAGGTCTGGAGCTCTATATAGGTAAGAGATGCTTGGACCTTGAAGATATCAGGCAATTGAATGAGAATTACTGAATGTTATGAAAATCAAAGCTAAAGAAAAACTATTTGCTTCAATTACATGTAGATCAAAATTAAAGATATGTGGTTGTAATAACAAAAACTACTATGTGTGGTAAAGAAAAAGAAAAAAAATAAATGAACTGAAATAATTAGATAAGGAATAATGAGAGAAGTAAAAGAAGAGTTATTGCCATATAATCAAAAGAAGATAGTGTTAAAAACAAGGGAGTAAGTAATCATATAAATGTATAAAAAGTATCTACAGATATAGTTTATATTCATTGATGTAACATGAGGCTAATACCTTAATGGTTAAATTCTAGGTGCAAACCAAATAAATAATAGAAAATCTAAATAATTTAAGATTTGTTTATTTAAAATAATGGGTAGAATTGATAAATATTTGGCCAGAAAAAGTAAACACAATTTTGACAAACATAAAGAATAAATATACAAACACCACTCCAGAAGCTGTCAATATGAAACAGATAAGAGAGGCTATGGAGCTAGCTCCATTCGGTCAGTGATTGTGTGAGGACCTGGATACCCAGAATCATGTAAATATCTCTCTCTCTCTCTCTCTCTCTCTCTCTCTCTCTCTGTGTGTGTGTGTGTGTGTGTTATATGCTTGCAATCCTAGCACTGTGGACCAGAAAGGGGCAGATCTCTGGGGTTCAATGGCTAAACATCAGGATAGTCTCGCTTGCTTGACAAGGTCTAGGACAGTGAGAAGTCCTGTCAAGATGAACAACATAGACAGCTCCTGAGAAATAATAGCAAGAGTTATTTTCTTCATATGCATGCACTTGCACCTGAATAAAATACAAAGGAATAATATAAAATGTTTTAAAATAAACCTAAAAACTAAGATATTATTCCTTGAAAGATACCGAAGGTCAATCAAATAGAAAAAGGGTAAATGTAATGATCTCATCACTGCTAAATTAATTTACAACTAAAACTTTTTTCAACAAAGATAACACTGTGTCAGGAGACTTTACTAGAAACTACAGTAACTATTTAAGGAAGAAAATCTAATTCTACAAAAGTTTTTTCATAAAAGAGGAACTACATATGTCACAAGCTATAATTAATCTGATATGAGAATTATTTTAAGAAAAATGAAACCACAGACCAACGTCTGTCGCGAATGTAGATTTTAAAAATCAAAATCAAAACCACCAATGAATTGTTAAGAACTCAAATCTAATGCCATATAAAAATAATGTAACACATTTTTAGGATTAAAAATCCTAAATTAGAATTAAAATTCATCACTTCAAAATTAAAGAATATAGTCCCCCATATCCAGATACTAAAGAAGCAAATTATGTAATAACTTTAGAGGGAAAAATTGTCCTAATTGAATATCTTTATAATAAAATCAAGTGTCATATGGCAGGAGAAATGAGGTCACGCTGTACTCTACAAGTAATCTGGAAGTAAAAGGAGAAAGGCTAGAGGAGGAAATGCTGTTCAGATAAGAAGAGTAGGGTGAAGAGAAGTATTTTCCCAATGCACCTGAATCTTAAACATATTTGTGTATTAAGGAGAAGTAACCAAAGGAGGAAGGCAAAACAAAGAAACAGAACCTTCCCAATGACAACAAAACCAGAAAATAGTAATGAACTTATTGTGTGTCTTTGTGTATTTTTCTTTTTCTTTTCTTTTCTTTTTTTTTTTTTTTTTTTTTTTTTTTTTTTTTTTTTTTTTTTTTTTTGGAGGTTGAAATGGGAACAGAATCTCTAGCACAAGAGCAAGTAGAAAAAAGTTCAAAGCTCTGAGGCTAATGGCCAAGGGGCGGTAATAATAAGAAAGCATTATTAGAGGCAAGAGGCTCAGGGTTGGTCATGCTCACACAGTTCCACACGCTCCCTCTGGAAGGAAGGTGATATAGTGTGGCTTTACTGTGACTCAGTAATAGCTTTGCCAGGGCTGATCCAGTACATGGCATTTAACTTGTAGGCAACTCAGTATCCTTACTTGTAACGGAGGGAAAAGAACACTTGACCCCACAAAGCATTACATGAAAATGATGCGTGGGATCTTGCACACATTCCGTAGCACAGAGCAGGTACCTGGGCTCCTCTTCTGTCCTCTTTGCTTTTGTTTAAAAAAAAAAAAAAGAGGTGGTGTTAACACTTTTTAAAAAGATAGACCAAAGTGGATCAGATCAGGGAATTCAATGAGAACGTTACTGAAGAAATGTAAACAATGATCTGTAAGAATAGATGAGGAGGAGGTTGTATGGGTCATACTGTGACTGTCATGTGCCAAGAAGACATAAAGGTGAAAAACATGAGTGGTGCTGAGGAGAGTGAAGTCCTTGGAGTGAGTCCGATGATGGGAAGAATGCAGCCATAAGGAGAGATGACAAAGTGTTCCGATGAGGCCAATGCTGGGTCACAGTAACTGACCCCGCATCAAGTGTTACAAACAGGGGAGATGACACCTCCTTGAAGTAAGTGGACACAGAATCAGTTATGGAGAACTGTCAGCTTTAACAACACCCATAATTTCATGAACGTGGAATTGGCTCTGCATAGGCGACTTATTAGGAGAACCACCCCCCAAACACATGGAATGTGAGAAGAGTCGGACCCACTAAGTAATGCTCAGAGAGAACAGCTAAATGAGAGAACCAGGGAGGGCACCATAGAAGTTCAGCCACTCAGGAGCATCAATGCTAATTTTTCAATGACATTTTATTGAGATGACCATCATCACTGAATTTGGTTTCTGGTTAATCATGTAAACAGAGAGTAGAGCTGTAGATGGGAATCTTGTACTCTATTAGAAATAAGTATAAATAGTTAAAAGCATGACTGGCATAAACAACTCAGTGATCCACCTTTTTTCTTGATCATTCAAGTTTTACAATACATGAAGCAAGAAATGTAAGATGGAAGAAAAGTTCTGCTATGATATGGAGTTTTGGAGGGATTTTCTATATATCCCCCTAATGTAGGTATGCCCCATAGGGAGTCTTCATAGACTATGAGTGCACATACTTGGAGCCTATTGTTCTGGTAAATTTTATGTCAAGGATCACTGAAACATTCATCTTCATGTCTTTGAGATCTCTCTCTCTTTTAAAGGTTTATGATTAAAATGTTCTCTGATGAGACGTTTTCATTTTCAGAGATTCTCATCAACTGAGAAATGAACCCCACCTACACCTCTAACCCTGATGCACATAACTAACACCATGGTCAATTTAATTGTGAAGATTTATTCAAGATTATAAAAAGCATAGTCTTTATTTCTTTTCCTCTGTAAGTCTGGAGAATGACTTTTATCCATCACTGCCTTGTACATGCTCATTCCTTTGGAGAACCATTTTAATATCCTAAGAGAGAGAGAAAAAACAAAGAGAACTTACAAATGAAAGTAAAGAATTTATTATTCACTCTTTTGTTTCCTTTAAGATGAGTGTTTCCCATTTAGTGTGTTTTCCATTCTGAAACCACCAGTTATTTCTCTAGAATGATATCTAAGGGTTTTTGGAAATTCTCCTTTCTAATCCTGTAATGGAATTGTCATGTTAAGTAACATTTATAAATGCAATTACTCAACTCTGTCATATAATGTGTAAACCAAAAGATTATTTTCCTATAAATGAATAAGATGGTGTTCACACTCTATTAAAGAACAAAATATAATGACAAAATTAATCACATCTTCACAGAAATTTAAATACAGAAATTCTGAGCAGTAGATTTTTCTGTAACTTTCCCATTTCTTTATAGAAATTTAACGTTTTAAATCCCAGTTTTAAAAAAATAATTATGAATTTATATATTTAGAACGAATACTATCAGATATGAAAAACACAGAAATTGCATGGTTATGGTAATTTTAACTTGTAACTTTTCCCCCACAGTTTAGGAAAGGGCTTTAAAGATGTAAGTTTCTTTAACCCAGAGTTGAATTCCATAGTTTTCAGCTTGTGGTCACTTTACACATGAAGAGATGGGCTATTTCCATCTAACTAGCTGGCTTGCATCTCTATCACTGTTAGTCCCTGCCAGGAACCACACTGAATCATTTCCTTGAGAGAGCCTATTCCTTCAAAGCACTGACCTCCTTAGAGGCAGAAGTCAACCTTGAGTAAGCTAAGTGGAACAGAACAGGGGCTTCCATTGAATTCTAGTTCCCACTTGCTGCACTGCTAGAGGGCAGGCATTTATGTTGGCCAGCCTTCATTACTCTGGGAACTAAGGCATTGATTCTGTGATTATCTGACACTCCACAGCATGAGTAAAGTGACCGAGACACATGCCAGCCAGCATGGGCGAAATTCAAGATGAAATAGGGAGCCATAGTTATTAGATTGGACTGCTAGCACCTGAGGCTTGGCACAGATGCTCAGAAAGTAAAGCATGAAAGTAGTTGTCCTGTGTTGTAATAAAGATAAAAGCAAGACTGGAGAGTATTTTCAAATCAGATGCCTTGGAGACAGAGTGGGATGAAAATAACTTTCCAGTTATATTTACAGTTGTGGGCAGTGGGAGTCTTTGTTTATAAGATACTCTCTTGTGACACTTTGATTTTAACACTGAAACAATCATTACTACTTCCCATTAAACATGTACTTCATTTGGGAGATTTCCAAAGAAAAACTCAGTCATTTGACATGTGCTCAGTACAAGAAATGTTCGGGTTTGAGGTGTTGGAGAAAAATAATTTACCTGGTTAGATTTGTCAACATATTTGTCACAGGAAAATGACTTTGTTTCCCAGCAATATAGTTATTATGTTCTCACTAATTTTGTAACATTTACACAAATCATCTTCTTAATAATTTAAAAATAAGGATTCTAGCATTATGCCCAGTATCTCCTTTGATACCCTGGTGGGTAGAACCTTTCAGAGGACCCTTGTGAAAGGCTCCTGTCCTGTTCCATGTCTTCTTCTGCTTCTGACGTCTATCCTGTTTGCCCTTTTGAATGATGATTAAGCATTTTCCCTGGGGTCCTCCTTGGTTTTTAGCTTCTTTAGGACTATAGATTTTAGTATGTTTATCCTACATTTTATGGCTAATATGCACTTACTTGGAGGGGACAACAAAGAGAACAACACACAAGGAGAACAACAGAGCCTAAATACCTGGGTCCAGGGGGCCCTGCAGAGACCGATACTCCATGGACCATGCATGGAGAGGACCTAGACCCCTGTGTTCAAAGGAAGTCCATTGGTTGCTCAGTTCCCAAGTGAGTTCCCTACTAAGAGGTACAGGAACTGTCTCTGACATGAACTCAGTGGTCAGCTCTTTGATCACCTCCTCCCCCCCCCCCCCCCGGGGGGATGCAGTCTTTCCAGGCCACAAAGGAAGATATGCAACCAGCCTTGATGAGACCTGATAAGCTAGGGTCAGATAGAAGGGGAAGAGGACCTCCCCTATCAGGGCTCTAGGGAAGGGCATAGAGGGAGAAGAGGAAGGGTGGGTTGGACTGGGTGGAGACGAGGGAGGGGGCTGCAGCAGGGATACAAAGAATAAATTATAATAAATAAATACATAAATAAAATTAAATTAAAAATAATTTTAAAATATTTTGAACATACTTTCTTTGTACCAGATCTAGAGGAGTAGAAATTAAATCCATGATGCAAACTTCAAATCTGTAAAAATCCAGCACCAAATCTGGAATTTTCAGTTGTGTTCACCACTGACCCCTGCCTGAGACTTCAGTTTGACAATCTGTCACTGTGGCCCTCTGCCAGAGAAAACTTTGTTTCTCTACAGAGAGATGGAAGGCAAGCAACCTGTCTGCTATCCACCTATCACTTCTCATGCTTCTTTTCAACTGGGAGCATTTCTTGGGTTGTGAAACGTCTCTATCCCGTATCAGTATCAGTAGTGGGATCTGTTTTTTGTCTGCCGGGAACTGAGCTCAGCACTTTGTGAGTGTTAACTCATTTCATCTACACAGAAGCCCTCCGAGGAAGGTCTGACAGTTATTTCAATGTTACAGTTGTGGAACACAAGACACTGTGAGATCTTAACACACATTTTCTAGCACCTCACATTCCCAAGGTTCTATACTCTCATAAGCACAGAGCCAGTCCATCTTGAAACAGAAACAAAACTAAGGTGTGTTGTGGTAACATATAACCCATTGTTTTCAAGTATGTATTTTTAAGCCCTATGGCTTGTAAACACAGAACTCTTAAGCACCAACCTTCATCTTCCCACTGTTTACAAAAGCAAACAACTTCTTAACCTTGAAAAACCACACTCTAGCTTTTGCTTTACTTATCTTGAACGATCTTCAAATAACATCGCTGTGGTTAAGGTTCATTTTAAAAAAGTCATCTTTTTACTTGTACATGGATACCTGGAGCAAAAACTAACAGTACAAATATAAATCCCCCTCCCAAGACTGCAATATTTATTTTCTTTCTGCTTTTTTTCTTTTCTTTCTCCCCTCCTTCCCTCCCTCCCTCTTTTTTCCTCCTTCCCTCCCTCCCTCCTTCATTTATTCCTTCCTTCCCTTCCTTCCTTCCTTCCTTCCTTCCTTCCTTCCTTCCTTCCTTCCTTCCTTCCTTCCTT